AATCCCCAATTTTTACCGACTTGGAAAAGTTGGCATAAAAATGGGTGTTTTCGCTCAAAAACACTCTTTGCTTCAAAAAATCCCAACTTCTAATCTAGAGCAAGAAGCCACTTGAAACTTTTGCAGTCCTTAGAAGACAATCGAAGCTCAAAATACTGAAAATATTGTCCAGATCGCTTAAATCCCCAATTTTTACCGACTTGGAAAAGTTGGCATAAAAATCGGCGTTTTCGCTCACAAGCACTCTTTGCTTCAAAAAATCGCAACTACGAATCTAGACCAAGCAGACACTTGAAACTTTTGCAGTCCTAAGAAGACACTCGAAGCTCAAAATACTGAAAATATTGCCCAAATCGCCTTAAGCTCTGGTTTTTACCGACTCGAGAGAGATGGCATAAAAATGGGAGTTTTCCCTCCAAAGCACTCTTTGCTTCAAAAAATCGCAACTTCGAATCTAGAGCAAGCAGACACTTGAAACTTTCGCAGTCCACAGAAGACAGTCGGAGCTCAAAATACTGAAAATTTTGCCCAAATCGCCGCTCAATTTAACAACCTTTCCGTGACATGCTCTTAAAACAACAGTAGTTTATTAAAAATAGCACAGAATTCTCGGTACGTCGACACTATACTTATGTACAATTACATTCAACCAGTTTCGCCTGAATTTAAATAACACTCGCTGTGACCCGCCAGTTAAATTATACTTGCATGTGCTGAGGTTGGCCGTTCGAAATCAACCTCTGAACCGCGTAAAACAAGCATTATTCTGTCTCGTGTATAAGTGCAGCCTTTGCCAATGGAACAATGAATGGATGGTAATTGCGAGTACAGAAATAAGAAGCCCTTCTTAGTACTGATGAATCTGCCCGTTAAGTAAGTACTTACTCTTAGTAACCTTACACTAAGAATGGTCATTTAGTTAAAAATCATCTTTCCTAGTCAAATGCAGTGAAACGACACTAATCTCCCTCTACTCAGTTCATGATAAATTGCCTTCTATTACATCACATGTTTATCACCAATTCTCATGGGGACGAAGCAAACAAGCAATGAAAACGTTCATTGAAAGTTATCAGTCAGGTTCTTCGGTGTTTTTAGCCATGGATGAAGAAACAGGAGAAATCAACTACAGCCTACACGTGTCGAAGGATGCAGAAACTGGCGAAGAAGAGTACGTAAACTACTGGCTAGACCAGGAGACTGGGGAAAAGCAGTACTTTAGCCTCGACCGGATATGCCACAGCCTGCAAATGCCGAATCCGTTCAGAATCAACAGGTACATACAGCCGAACTAACCAGCGCTTCTGCCTTCAACAGACCCTTTGCAGGTACGCAACGCACCTGACTGCAATCGTGCAAAACTCCAAGCACAAAACGTCGCAAAAGCGCATGGAATTCATAACCGCCATAGTTTTCCTGTTGCCCACCTTCATTGTATTCACGCCGCTGCTGGGGATAATCGTCCTAATCTTCGATGTGATCCTGCACAAATGGTGCCACAGGAAAAACGCCCGTCTAGCCAGGGAGGACATGATCTACTATCGCAGTCCTTTGCACATGATCTACCGGGAGTTCTGCTTGAAGTGCATTGCGGAGGAGCATTCCAGGAAGATCGAGGAAATACACAATAGGAGACTCAATAGGAAGAGGAGCGCAATGGAAATGCTCAAAGACACCAGTGGGTTGGAGGCAAGACTCTAAAGCGCCATCAAACAAATGTGATATCCTGCAAATCATCTATTGTTCGGTAGTTGATTATGCTCAGGCGTAAGTTTGTTATTCGATTGTCTTGCCCTAACTAGGTCCAGTTCAAACACTAATAAGTACAATCGAAGACCCTTACTCGATCTCGTTAATCCTGCCCTCCTTCAGTCGGGACTTTCTGATTTCCAACTTCAACCATGTGGGAACTGTTCTCTCGAAGTATTGGGCGTTGGGATAAGGCGCTGGCGGCTCCGGGGCTTTAAACGGGTGCACCTTTTTGAGCTTCCGAACCAAAAACTCCTTGTTAATCTGCTTTGGGTCCCTGTACTTGTCCATGTACAAATTGAAGGGTTTCCTCAAAGGGAACCACTCCTGTCTTCGAATGTAGGGCTTGGGAAAGTCGTACTCGTAAACTGGCTCTTTTACATCTGCAAACACCGCCAATGAGACTTGATAGGGCATTAAATTGAAAACGCACCGAGCACGTTGTGAAAAAACTTCCTAACAAACATGCTCCAGTCTGCTTGGAAGAATGCCAGGCCTGCTGGGGTGATTTCGTCCTGAAGCCCCCTATAAAAGTCGTAAGTGCTGAATGTCCTCTCGGGCAGGCTCGAGCAGGGGCCTGGTTTCTTGTAGCCGGAAAAATCCAGCTTCTTGTTTTGCTTGTACAGAATGAAAATGTGCCGGTGATAACCAGTGCCTTTAGGCGGGAAGGGGGGCATGTATTCCACGACGGTTTCCCCTTTTTCCACCGCATTTCCTGGAATGTTCGCCCTAAAATTCCTAGATTCAACCCCACTCAATTAGCACAGACATTCACTTACACAAACCAATGCACGTATTCCTTGTCATTGTCAGTGAAATGCCCATCGGGGTTGGTCAAAACTAAGGTCCAGAGATCCTGCGGCTCACTTTCATAGGCCACCTCCGGCTTCTGGCTGGCATCCTCAGGTTTCAGCACATTTCCATAATAAACTGGGTATTTGACTTCTTCCTGTGTGTAGAGAACCTGCAGGGGCACCTGAGGGAGGAAATACGCGTCCCCGAATAGATGCTCGAACACCCCGTAGTGCTCAGCTATTTGCTTAATATGTTGGGGCCCTACTGTGTGCAGCCACTCTTGGTTGGACTTTTCCAAATCAACAATCACTGTTGGATAGACAGGAACGGAAAAAAACCCATTAAAATGTTTCAAAGAAAATTGCCGTTGCTCTTACGTTGTTGATTACGAGCCAACCGTTCCATTTCGGGGTTCTTGTGCTGCCTCCTGAAATGTTCGAGTCGCTCCTGCAGCTGTTTGGACCTGGGAATTGTCCTGGGCGGCAGCCCGATGTCCACCTTGAAGTGCACCGAAGGGTCCTTAACTTGCCGCTCTGTAAATGAAGGAAACCTTCATCAACAGGGTTCAAATGGGAGCCGACTGGGGCTTGCCTTCGAGCTTTTGTTGCAGTGACTTGGCCACTCCGGGGGCCTTGCCCCTCAAGTGGTGTCCGTGGCGGACAAAGGTCTTTGCACCTGAGGCGGCATTTTCACCTAAATGTAACTGGCACAACTTTAAAATCACTTTGGACATTTTCGGTAAAGTTATTGAAAAGTGAGGTTGGGCACAAACAGGCCCTGGGGACTGTCATGTATCATA